ACACAGCATAGATCTGCCTGTGCTTTTAGATGGCCTTTTGTCCCAACTTGGAAGTAAAGGAAGCCCCTATGTGATAGAAAATCTCTAAAATAACTTGGCATCGGAACAGCTTTAAAATAAGCCAGTTTTCTTAAATTGGATTTTGCCCACCCATGGCCTTGCTTACATTCTCTCCAGGTGTTCAGTTCTTGAAAGCTGCAGAACTAAAATGCCATGGATGTGTACTTGGACAGACACCAAATGCTCCACTCGCCCTCCAAGGACAATAAGGCTGTGGTACTCTGTACTGAGGAAAGTGAAGCTATGAGGCGATCTGTCCATTCTATCAATTGCACGTGTTTCTTTTTAAGTTGTACAGGACAGAGCTTTGTAATTAATAATCTTTCTGTCCTATTTAGAGTTCATTTTAAATAAGTATGGCCTTTGAAGTTGCTCTCCTTTTTTTTTTTTTTTTTTTTTTTTTTTTTTTTTCAGAGGAGCGATTTGAGAGGTACAAAATGGTGGTGCAGGTTGTGATTGGAGAGCAGAGAGGAGAAGGAGTGAAGTAAGTTTGGGATTTTCTAATTGTATTTCTGTAATTTTCAGTTGTTTTTGTTCTGTGGGTTTTGTTTTTCCCTTCTCCTCTGGGGGCTGCTTCCAATTTTTCTAGATGCAAAGTTTCTGCAGGTGCTAATAGGCAAAGTATTTTCTCCTAAGCAGCAAGTGATGGCTTGGGCTGTGGCTGATTAAATTACTACAAGTCAGATGTCAAAGAGCATTTGTGAGGTGTGTTGCATAAAGGCATTTCTCACTGTATTCACAATAAACTGAAGCATACATCCAGACTATTCTTAGGGCCCTGCTGATGCACAAGATCCATGGTGATTCACTTGTGTCTAAAGCCAAACAAGTATTTTTCAGAAGTTTAAATTTCTGTATTCCCCAGTGTAATGCTGTCATAGGAATCTAGCCTAGATCTCACTCCAGGTGCCTGCAACCTGATGAACAAACTCCTCATTCCTGCTGTAGTGGGGTGTAGCTTTCTGTCGCCGCTGGGTAAGAAGACAAAAGGAAACAGCACACGTTGTTTCGGTGCCTTATGTGCAGGGTTTCTCTTTATTCTTGTGCCTAGTTTTCCAGCAGAAAATAAATGAAGCAAGCAGCAATCCCATTGGCTGAGACTGGCTGGAGCAGGTAGGGAGCTGGGTGTTTGAAGGAAGGAAGAGACAGGATCAGTGACATGAGAGGAGGCAGCAGTGAGGTCTGGTCTGGAATATCCCATGACAATCTGGTCATTTGCCTTCAAGGTAAGACAGGAGTTATTAAAAAAAAAAAAAAAAAAAAAAACCTAGGATTTTCAGGGACCAGAGAGCATAGATATGAAAGGGCTAGAAGTGCTTAGCTCCTATTTCAGTAATGTGAAGGCTGCCAAGAAATGTGATAGCTCACTATAAATAAATTGGTTGTATGCAACACAAGGGTGCCAGAGGTGAAGGAAAAGAACAAGCAAGCTAATTTAGCCACTGTTATGTTGACCTGAAGTCAAAAGGTTCTTAAGCACCAAAGCAATGAAGCTGCAAGTGCTGTTGCACAGTGGAGCAGGATTGATAGGTGATGAGTTTGAGGCTGCAGCATAGGCAACATACTGAGGCAGTTACAGCATATAACAGGAATCCAGCAATGGCAATCTAGGCTCAGGATTCAGCAGAATGCTTCCAGTTTCCCTTATCTTTAAAGGAAGCTCAATTTGGCTTTTCAATTAAAGTGCCTGTGATCACTTAGAATCCTTACACCTGACATTGTAGTTAATGGCTTTTCTTTTTCTCCTTTGTCTAGCATGGCTGCACGATGTTTCTGGGATGCTGACACTGACAGCTATGCTCATGATGTTTTCATGAATGTAAGCATTGACTTTTATAATGGGAAGTATAAAGCTGTTGTTTCATGTAGCACAGATGAAAGCAGCCACTGGTTTTTTTTTTTGTTTTGTTTGGTTGATTTTTTTGTTTTTGTTTTTTGGGTTTTTTTTTTTTTTGGAAGGAATCAAAACTACTGAAACAAAATGTGAAAGCTGTGAAGCAGGTGTAATATCCAAAATGATAAAACTTGATCATACAGTGGTCTACAAAAGCCACTTAAGTTACACCATCTGACAAGTGGAGTAGGAAAGCACGTGAGATACTTTCTGATTTGCTTTGCTGAACTGCTCTCCAGAAGTAAGGCTGCAGAGCAGGACTGAGGAGAAGTCAAGACTTTACCTTAAAACTTCCTGTACTGTCCTGCTACTGAGTGCTTCCCACGTTAAATCTGCTATGGAATGATTCAAACTCTGCTGTAAGATTCTAGACAGCACTCAAAGACATGGGGCTGCGAGGATTTCAGGGAGAATGTCCTCATTATAAGCTACAGAATACAGGGAGGAGCATGGATTGCTTTTTGGTGAGGACTTTCTCTTTTGGTGATTGTAACCAAGTGAGGTGCTTCTGGTTTTCAGACACATCACAACTGAGCTGAATAATAACTTTTTAAGTACTTAAAAAGAAGAAAAAAAAGGGCTAGGTTATGAGTATTTTTAGTGCTCTGGTCTAAGTGTTCCCTCAGGTCAGCCTTTACGGTTGGGCTAACAAAGATTTTGCCTTTGCTAATATGGAGCCTTTCTCTGTTTTCTTCAGGACAGCCTCTTTTGTGTGGTAGCTGCATTTGGCTGCTTCTACTATTGAAGATAACTGCACAAAAGGACAGAGGTGGGGGAGAATACTTGGGGGCATTTTTGTTACCATAACATACACAAACACAGTGTGCTTCCTTTAATACTCGTAGAGCAATGCAGCTCTACAAAGCACATCCTACACGTGTTGAACTACAGCATCCCTCCTCCCTCGTTGATGTCAGTATAGCTTTGAATGTGTCATTATGTCCTTTATGTAAACTGCTGTTTGTTTTTTATATAGCGTGCTGGTTTTGTCCTAAAGAGTATTGCCAGGAGCTGTTGTTTTTAAGGCAGACACAACTTCTGTTTTAAGAGGGTTCCACTGCTTTTACTTTTAGTTTTCTGAGAATGAAGTATTTCCAAGAAATGTAACATAATAAATCTGTATATTTACTTTTTCTCTCCTGTGTGTTTACCTTGGCCTTTTCCACTGCTTGTCCTCTCTGCTCTACAAAATGTGCTAGCCTTGATTGTTCGTCTGTGCTGCTCAGATAAACATTTTCTGAGGATTCTCTGTAAATTAATCCATAAAGCTGACCTCTTATTCTGCCTACATGGATTTGTTCTTGGGATTTCTTTAAGAATTGGGTTGATGATTCCAGCTACGTGTCATGTGAAATGATATTAATTGATAGGGAGACAAGGTATTTAGGACACTGGGTCAGGCCAGCAGCCTGCACACCTCACAAAGTGTCAGAACTCTTCCAGCTGTAACTCCTGATTGGCTCAGTGCAATCAGGCAGCTGTGTCACACGGGATACTCATTGCTGGTTGCCCCTATACTGCAATGTTTTTTCAACCTTTGCCTTTCTGGAACTGTTTCAGGAAGTGCATGTTTGGATTCCAGCTTTGACAGGAGCAGGAAGGAAGGCTGCTGGAAATCAGAAAGAGTCCCCAGAAGTCAGAGGACCAGGCTGGTTCCTGGGAGAGTGGGTGCTGTCAGAAGGCATCTTAAATGCCCTTCAGAAGGCAGGATGAGTTGCACAGTGCCAGTTCTCTGTCTGGGCTGACTGAGGAAAAGCAGAGCTGAAGAATTTCAACTATATGTTGGGCTTTTTCAGGGCTGAAGTTGGGTGAGATGAGTCCCTAATTCCACCCTCAGCTATTGCTGGAGATCATGCTGTCAATGCAGCTCATAGCAATCAAACCAGAAATCATGATGCATCTTCCAGAATCGCTCTTCTGTCTGCAATCCTGGCTCTGTTTCTCCAATAGGTTTGTTTGAAAGCAGCTCCATTTGATTGCACTGATGGAGGAACAGGAGGTGGTCAGCAGGTGTGGTTGTCACCACTACTCAGTGTGAGCATGTGAAGCTGGGAGCGTGCAGTGAGACAATCTACTAGAAAAATCTACCAGCAGATCAGATATACCCTGTGCCTCTCGACTTGGTCAAGTTACAAGCTCTGGTGGTTGCTGTGTTTGGAAGTTTTTAACAGCTGCTTGACAAAGGTGTTATACAAAGGCACAGATGTGTGCCGATTCAGCTCCAGTGACCCCTCCTTGAAGAAGGGCTGAGCAATGCAGCAATGAATGTCTGGCCGAAGAGCCGTGCCCAGGGCCCGGCCACGTGCGTTTCCTCCGCTGTCCGGGTAGCTGCACGTCTGGCGTTGCACAACTCCTTCCTCCGTTCATTCGCAGCACTCAGAAGGTCTGCGGCAGCAGCTCGGGCCGCGTTCCGCCCGGAGGGGTGCAAACCCCACAGCAATCCCTGCCCTCAGCGCGGAGCGGACGTTCCAGGCCGGAACGGAGATCGCGGGCGCGGTTTCCCGGGCCGCCCCGGTCCCTTCCTGCGCTCCGTCCCTTGCGCGGCTCCGCCCGGCGCCCCGTTGGCGTTGGCGGGAGCGGGGCGGGGCGGCGGCGGGAGCGGCAGCGGCTGCGGGCCGGGCCAGGTGCGTGCGGCCGGGCTGAGGGGGGCGGCGGGGAGGGGACGCGCCTGGGCGGTGCGGGCAGGGCTCGGGGTCGGGGATGTCCGTTGGGCGGGGGCTGGGACGGAACCGGCTGCGATCGTTCTGAAATGCTGTAGAAGAGCCGTGTGGCTCAGCTCGTAGCTGAGGATCCGCTTTGGGTGATGTGCAGCGCACCGGCGGGCTCTGCCAAAGCCGGGGTCGGAAGCGAAGTGGGGCGGAACGGCCTCGTGCTCCCGGCTGCTCTGCACCACCCCCAGCAGCCGTGTTCTGTGCCAGCCGCCCGGCCCTGGGGTGACGGCGTACCTACAGGGCTGTGAGCTCGTACGGAGATCCTGGCGGCATCTTCCCCTGAATGCGAGGCTGGGCCCTGCCTGGGAACGAGGTGTGACAGCCCGCTCCAAGCCTGGGTGCTGTTGTATCAGTGTGTGGTCGAGCTGGGATGGCTGTCAATGTATTGCAAGATAGCTGTGTTGGCTTAACCAGAGGAGCTGCCCGTGTTTTAAGTGCTGGACCCCTAAGCTTTATATAGACTGGAGGGGTTCCACCTGCCCGCAGAGCAGCTGAGCTGGGGACAGTGACACGTGTCCCTGGTTTTGTGCCCTCGGTGTGGGGAGTTGGGCAGGGCTGGCATAGAGATTGGGCAAGGCAGTTAAACACAGGCTGGGGAGAGATCCTGATCTCTCCCAGTAATTATGGATGGGTTAACCCTCATCTTGTAAACAGGCTTTCATCAGTTTCTGGGGGTGTCCACAATGAGTCTGGTGGTGTTAACCTCTTCTTTTCTGCTTACAGCAGATCTCTGCAGAGATGCATGGCAGTGAGATAGATCGTAAGCTAGAGGTTCTTGTGTTTTGAGAGTCTGTTCTCCTTGTAGGGTAGTTCAGGCACTTTGCAGCCTGGCAGGAGTTATCTGAAGTGACAGAGCTTCTTCCTTTTCCCGGAGGCTCTCGCTTAGTGCCTTCAACGTGTCAGGGCAATTCTTCCCAGCAGACAGCTGGCAGAGTACAAAGTTTGGTAGTATTTGTCTGCGGATGAGTCAGCAGAAGAGAAATAGCTCGCTTCTGCAGAGCGGAGTGATCTTGTAGGCAGAGCAGCACATGACAGCTGCATCTGACTCTGAGTTCAGAGGGACGATAGGGGAGCGCCAAGGCAGGCAGTGCAGCGGGGACATGGCAGCACGGAGGGGCTCACGGTCCCAGCGTCAGCCTTGTGCCAGCTTAGACCTGTTGCTGAGCTGTTGCAGTCACCTCTCATTTTGTGTAGGTTTTATTTTGCTTTGTCCAGCTGCCCCGGTTGTGTTATGAAGTGGTAGAGAGGTTGTGATTTGCCCTATGGATCTGCCCTAACAGGGAGCTACTTAACTTTGCTCTTGGATAGCAGTTTCTCCTATTGAGCACAGCTCAGGCTTGCAGGATGGTGATTTCTCAGGCCTATACAACAGTGTTGATGTTTTACAACAGGTCTTTTTCTTTAGGCTATGCCAATTCTTTTATCTTGCAGTTTTTCAAAAGGAACCTTTGGAGCTATCTTTTTCCCTTCCCCATCTGCTGCAAATGTAATTAATTTTAGAACAGTCTGTGTTGCACATATTTGGGGAAGCAAAGATGTGTGCTCATGTGTTCAGCTCAGCTACAGATGCTGGCTTGCATTGTTAGAAAGTCATTGTTTAGGGGCTATTTTAGTCATTTGGATCAAAAGAAAAAAAGTTCTAAGATAAGCAGCTTTATCACGTTAAGGTGTAATTTGTTTTTCAAAACAGTTTGTTCTCAGCTTTTAATGAAGGTGCCTTTGATGCTGGGAGGAGCTCCTGGAAACGCGCTAGCCACAGGGTAGAGGTTTTAAAGCTCTGAAGAGTGGTAAAATTACTGTTTAATTTCTGCAGTAGTTTAAGTAATTAACAGAACTGCGTCACTCAGGAGGTGCCCAGCCAAGCTCCAGACACTGCAGAGGCTCCATCACAAAGTCTTGGTGTAGCACTGGCACAGAGAGCACTTGTGCACCATCCACAAGGCTTCAGCCACGGTGTGTCAGATAGTCACATTTAAGACTTTTTACTGTGTGCACCATGAGAAGTGGGAAAGGGAATGGAATTAGAGGGGAGAGAGTGGTGAGGTGCTGGCATTATTGCCCAGAGAGCTGTGGGTGCCCCAGCTCTGCATGTCCAAGGCCAGGTTGGATGGGGTCTGAGCTGGTGGGGGAGTAGCCAGCCCAAGACTGGGGATGGGGATGAATGGGCTTTAAGCTCCCTTCCAACATAACCCATGCGAATGTTTATGTGAACTAGACAATTTCTGGTAGGACTGTGATGATAAATATCTGATGCATAGTGTGCTTGCAAGATGGCAACTTGCAAAACTGAAGGAATACTTACTCCACACCCTGTGTTTTCATAGAGGTACAGTGGAAGCTACTGCATTTATGGCACAGATCTTGCCCCAGTTAAATGTTTGCTTAACTGTTTGAAGACTTAGAGCTTAGGGCTGCAAACTTTTTAAGCCTGAGTTTGCATTTGCACACTCTCATTTATTTACCTGTTGTTAGGAAATGAGGTTAATTACTAGAATAGGGGAAATGCTGTAAACTCAACTGGCAGACATTATGAGTGAGCACTGGATGGTTCATGCAGCTGTGAAATGGCCACACGCCCTTCCTCTGTTCCCTTTGGAAGATGATAAAGCTTTTCCAGCTGCTCTCCACAGGCACTTTTGTCTTCTCCCCAGTATTTTTTGGCTCCTCGCTCACCTAAAGATTCTCTTTTCCTAATGTAGTGCATTATGTTAGGTCTAATAGCAGTTTGGGGCACGTAGCCCCAAACCAGTTCAGCTGCATTTGACCCTAATGCTGTTCACAAGGCATCATCTTGGTGATGCTCGGTGGGAAAATCTGTGCTCTTGCATGCTATTAAATAGCATTTAATTCCTTTGGGACATTCCTTAACTCAGAGTCATCTGCTCTTGGGTAAGTTCAGTCACTCAATCTGCTTCTTAACAGCTCTCTTTCACCAGGCCTGGCTTGCTTGCTGCTGGAGGGCAGAGTTTCACCCAGTGGCCAGCACTGAGGACAGCCTCAGCTCATCCCAAGCAGGAGCACTTGGAGAGACCCAAGCACCAGCGCAGAGGGTGCTCAGAGCGTCTCTGCCTGTTCTCTTACCTCTCGTTGCCCCACCTAGCATGTTCCAGGGTGGGGAGAAGCTTTGAATTCCACACAGCCCTAGTGATTAGGGTGTAAAGGCATGCACATAGGCATCATTCCTGGGAGGAGGGTTCATGCTGCTCTCAGGGAAAGCAGGTCCGAAGTGCTGTTTGCTGCAGTGGGAGCTGCACCCTTGGAGCGAGCAAAAGAGGTAATACTTAGTTGCTGCACTTTACTAATAAACTGTGCAAATGCAGCAGCTGTGTCTAAACTCCTGCAGCAGCTGAAAAGGAAATGGTTGCTGTCATGCATTTTTACAAACCCATAGCTTTGCTTCAGCTGTTCTTAATGCTCCAGGGCCCTTTTGGGAAGGCTGCAGTGTACAATGACCCAGTGCAAAAGCCAGGATAGCTAACTTGCAGATAGCTGTTACGTTTTCCATCCCAAAGAGGTTGTCTTTCTGTCCATTTGTTGTATCTGCTGCTGGTTGCATCCTGGTACACAGAGTTCCAGGAGTAAGTGTGCCTTAATGTGACAGGCAGCTGCTTCGCACCAGCTGAGTCACCACTGCAGGAGGAGAGAAGGTGAGGTGAGTTGGTGGTGAGGGGAGCTGCAACTCGGTCTTAGACGAACACAAAGCAGACAGCAAGTCATGTCTGACGTATAGCCAAAGGTTGCACCCCTTCTCTCCTCCCCCTCTCCCTTGTCCTTCCGCTTAATGTTTGCATCCAGTATCATCAAAATGAGAGCTGGGGGAGGACTGAGTGTGCCTTGGACATGCCTGAATCGTTAGGTTGCCTTTCGGAGGCTAAAATAGCACAATTGGCCTGTACTAATGATTTATAACTTGCACTGCAACTCTTGTGTGAGTTTCTCTCGAGGCAGCTGACTGCTGTGTGCTTCTCTCTGCGGAACAGAGTTGCATTAAGTGATTCAGTATTCCCACCAGGCACTGTTTGTCAAGCCTTGGCAGTTGGTGCCAAATAGAACCGGCTAAGCCCCTTGTTAGGTGGCTGTGTCTTTGCACTGACCTTCTGTACGCTCTGCCTGCTGTTGACTGATTTTTTGCTTTGGAAGAGCTGAAAAATATATATATTTCTTTATCTGCCCCTGTTGCAGCTTCTATTGGACGTGTGCTTGGCAAGATGGAGCCGCCGACCTCCTCCAGGCTGAATTCCCGAAAGAGAAGAAAAGATGGATCTGGCCCCAACGGGGCAACAGAGCTGGATGGAATCCCTGCAAAAATGTCCCGGCGCTCTTTCGTAAGTAAGCAGAGATGGGAGCTGGAAGTGCTGGGGAGGCTGGGTGCTGGAATCAGAACAACAGGAAGACAAATATGATGGGGTTTCTGTGGACTCAGAAAACAAAGGGGAGGAAAGAAGCAAATGACAGGAGCTACCCTTGCAAAGCCAGTTTGAAATCTTCCTTTGCTCGTACTAATGACACACAACATGGACTTAAATTAGATCTGAAGCAAGTGTCGCTAAGCTGCTTTTGCGGTCTGTCCGGCTTGTTTGTACTCAGTTAATCTGTTCCCAGGCAGACACGCAGATAGGTATCCACGTGCTGCAAGTGGAAGCATTCACTCGGTGTAGGTGGGTTTTGTCACAGATCCATGAGGGAGAAATAACTCCAGAAAAACAGAGAAGCAGCACCCGTGTCCAGCAGAAAGCAGTCCGTAGGTAGGGCACCTGCAGCAGTCCAGCAGTCAAGTAGGGCACCTGTGGGTGGGCTTAGAGTTTGATACCTGCAGAGGCAGCCTATCTGAAACTGGAAAGAAAACTCTTTATTTTCCTAGTGCAACAGGAGACTCTTCCATAGGGGTCTGTCCCAGCTAATGTCAGTATGAAGAGCTGACTTAATGTTGTCCCAGTTGTGATATTGTGATGATGAGCTTTGTACAGCTCTTCTCTGCTCCTCTTCCAGAGCTCTCCTTTGTATCGTGTGCTCTGGTTGTTCTTTCTGTATCTCAGTGAGAAGCAGCTTCCATCCTGCCGCATCATTCTGGGGTCATAGTCCTTGGGGAAATACAGTGATGTGTTACAGCTCCTCTCTTTGATAACAATGTTTTGCTATTCAGTGAGCACTTCAGTCCTGTCCTGGAACATCTGACAGATTATGAGTGTTGGGAATGGAGGCTTGAGCTATTGCATAACTCTCATCAAAATGCATCCTGTTTCTCTTAAAGACCCCCACATCTTTTGGTGGGGAAGGAGAAGTGTATGGCTTATTCCATGGGATCGTTTGCACTTCAGTTTGGTGTCCTGTGTTAGAAATAAAATGTCTGTATATGAATCATGCAAAACAAGTAATGTCTAGACTGCTGCACTGTGCACATCAAGTTGTGTCCTGACCCTTGTAGGTGCTGTGGAGGAAGGGCAAGGTTGGCAGGAGCTTCTGAGAGTGTTTCTCTGGGATCCTCTGATAATTTTGGTAGTTTTTTTTTGTCCTCTTATTCCTAGGTTCATATTGCACTACTGATGACCAAAGTGCAGCGTCTGGTTTTATTCACAAGCCCCAGATACAGTGGCAGTGAGGAAAGGAGAGGCACAGGCCTTACCAAGCAGTAAGGATCCACCAGAGGAGGTGGTGTTTGAAACGTGGGGACCTCAGTAAATGCTGATGTTAATGGAGATATCAGCAGCATCAGTTTGCTTGAATGTAATGGTCAGCAGTTGCTTTCCCACACGCTTCGCTTGGAGCACTGTAACAACTGTAAACATTAACAATCACAGCAGTGGTCTGTCTCTCTGGTTGCAGTGGTGCTGGGCACTGTGGCAAGATATCACAATGGATAGGAAGCCAGAGAGGAAATTGCTGATTAGCTTTTTGCCACTTGAAGTGTTATTGTACTGACCTGCAAGCTTGTTTCCCAGTCTTCTGGCTCAGGAAGGAGAAAACCCATTGCTGCCTCACACCTTCCTGCTAGGAGGAAGTTGAGTTGTTTGTTCCATTATAGGAAAATCAGATCTTTTGTTGCCATTCAGAAGCCAGGAACGATACTCAGACTTCAGCTGAGGTCAAGCTAGTGGATTAGAGAGGTTTTCCTGCGGCATTAAGATATATTCTGCTGCAGATCGAGGTCACTCTTGTTACTTATGGCTCAGAAATGAACACTGGTACACAGATTCCTTAGGGATTTGTTCTGCTCTCTGTATTGCTCTTCTGCTCGTTCATATACTCAAATTGAGGAGCTGTTACCGTTTGTATATCACAGCACAAGCTCTCAAACACACAAGCACAGCTAAGTGCTTGTCTGGATGAGCAGAGCTGTGAGAGTGAGGTTTGTTGAAGTTCCCTTTTCCCCTGCCCTCAAATTGAGGCTAATCACCCTACGGGGCTGTTTGGAGATTTAGCACTAATTAGTCTTTCAGTGCATGTGCTCAAGTCGTGCGGAGACACAGTGAGTCACTCGGTGACTAGGACACTGCAGTGGCATTGCTGCTGCTACGCTGTGCATTCACCTCTGCGTTCTCACCACTGACCTTCTCTGTCTGTGTAGGGACTGAGGGAGCCAGCTCCATTTTCAGATGAAGTGGAGATCGATTACAGCAAGCCGTACGTCAGAGTGACGTATGAAGAAGCGATGAGAGGGACCCCTTGTAAGTAAGAACCAGGCTTTAAGGGGAATGTACAAATGTTGAATGTGGGATGGGGGGGTGATTGCAGCCAAAGGCTTTGTTAATGCTTGTTGATTAAATAACTGTTCCTGTGTGTAATTGGGCCTGTCAGTCCGAATTGGAGCCTCTGTGTGAGGAGCTGTACGTTCACTAATAAGACTGTTTGAAATAAATATTGATGTTTTAGATGTTCCTTGTGCCTCTGACAGCTAAAGCTTACTGTCAGACCTGAACGTTTTGGTACGACTTAGCCTGAAGCTACTTAGACACTTTACAAGTCATCTCTTCTGAAATGGACACACAAAACCAACATACGCCTTTGTCCAGAATGTCCCTAGTTCTAATTCTAGTCTGCAGTGTCATTAAACAAAGCAGGCCAGCCCCACAGCAGGGCTGTGTCGTTTTATTCACTAAAACAAACTGGGAGAAACTGTTCTCTTTGCAAGTCCCAACGGGAAGCAGAGACAGGACTGTCTCTTCATGGGGGATGGTTTCCCTCTCTTGTCAAACAGAGTGTGCAGACAGTGCTCTCTTAATTGGCTTCTCTATTACAGGGACCCTAAGATAATAAAAATGCTGCACTTCTAATTATCAGCATGATGCTGAAAGAAAAGCCAGCTCAGACTGAGATCTGACACCAATTTCCTGCAGTTTTTGTAAATGCAAGTGCTTTGCACACTCCATGTTGGTTTCCCAGCTGAAAGTCTCTGTAACCTACCTCTGTAACCTCTGACACCTAAGAAGATGACTATGACTATTGATGACTATTCTGCCTGCTGTGGCTAAAATACAGTGTGTGCTTCTTGTTGCTGTTTCTGCCTGTTCTCAGAGGCTGCAGCTATTGTAGATATAGAGGAAAAGGAGCAGAGGTCCCAGCCAATTTCCAGAACATAATTAAACTTTAACAAAGCTATGTCAGAGTCAGCCCTCTTCTGGCATACAGAAAGCTCTTGCAGTTTTAGATCTCCAAATCCTTCACCCTCCAGAGCCTCCCCCACCTTCAGACAGAGGCTGATCTGCTGACAAATGACTACAAGAGGCTGTCCTCAAACTGACTCCTTTGCTTGGCTTGAGCCTGCTATCCCTTCATTTGCATCAAGTCTTCCTCTTGCTGCATCCCATGCTCTAGGCACAGACAGGGCCCTTCCTAGACCCATGAGGTTTCAGCTCTTCTGCTGAGTCTTCTGCCCTTTCCTTGCTGTGGCTTTGTTGTGCTTCTGTTCACACCAGTCTGAGTCTGCGTGATTTGAGCCAGAGAGCAGCAGGCCATTTCCAAGTGTCAGATACCAAGAATGTGTACATTTCTGTTAGCAGCAACAAGAGCTGGTGTCCCATGTGGTCTCAAGGCACCAGAAGTTGGGAGTCTCCTGCCTGTTGTGTGGCAGTTACTGGTCTCAGCTCTATCTCAACTTACCTTTGTGCTGACCTCAGAAAGGAGGTGCAATTTATTCTGAGAGAGATGGCCTGGTGGTCTTTTTTTCTTCCTTATTAACCTATGGATTAAGTTGATAGTGCCAGCAGCTCAGCAGGATTGTATCTGCTTTCCTTTGGGTAGTCCAAGTGTATTTTCAGATACAGCTGTGCACTCTGTGGGATGGGGGGGGGAGCTGATGATGCTGGTGGAGAATCAGGACAATCTGGTCCCTTAACAAGACGTTGTAGCTGTGGTGGGGGGCTGCAGGGAGAAGGATGTAGAAAATGTCTTCAGATGCTGTCCTGGCTGGCAAGGGAAATCAGGTGCCTGGAAAACATTTTGGCCCTTTGGTAGCTCCTTGCTGTGCAAGAAGTTAGTGTTACATTTAGATTTCCATAGGAGGCAGATGTTCATGGTTTGCTTTCCCTTGATCTCCCTCCATCTTGTTTCAGTGGGTATGTGGTAGGTTTTTAGTCTGTCTTTGAACATGGATAAACTTCAGCTCTGTTGGGTTTTTTTTGGCCAGTTTTCTGCAACTGTCTGTGAGTTTCAGAATGTCACACAGGCATGAGCAGCAGCTGCTTCTGCAGGAAGGCACCCTCATCAATGTCTGTTCTGTCTGTTTTTTTGGCACAGTGGATCGCCCTGTCAGAGTTTATGCTGATGGAATATTTGACTTGTTTCACTCTGGACATGCCCGGGCCTTGATGCAAGCGAAGAACCTCTTCCCAAACACATACCTCATTGTGGGAGGTAAGGAGTGATCTTGTTGACTTTGTAGGAACACTGTTAACCTCTGCTGTTGTGTGCACAGACAGCACAATGGGTTTTTTGTCTTTATGGCCTTAGTGGCTGTCATTGCAGCCAGTTGTCTTAAATCTCTCCCTGTTGTTGAAGTCTTACTGCACTATTGACAGCCAGGTATGCCTACAGAAAGGAATCCTGTACCAAAAGGAAAAGGTTCCTCATCAGCCTATTCTAATCTGGCTCCTCTAGTTTGAGATGGACTCTTGACTACCTGAGGAGATGTAGCCAGGTCTATCAGCCTTTAAGAACAGGACAATAAAGAAGAAACCCTTTCTTCCGGCTGTTGCAATCGCTGCCATCTGTCCATGCAATGCCTCTGTACCTTCACCCACCTTTCTGACGTGTGCTACTACAGACACATCAGTCTGTGCACGTTGTCTGTCAGGGTGTGACCTCTGGTCAGACTGCATAATGATGTTAAGGCAGCAGGAGCTGGGAGTACTTGTAACTAGTTTTCTCAACTATCATCAAGTTCTTGAAGCAAAATGAAATTCTAATCTTATGATAGACCATTCATAACGTCTTCATGTGATTTGTTTCCCTGTCACAGATTCACTTGCTGCTGAGAGCTTTTTGCAGTGGTACTTCTGAATGTTTTATGTGTGCTCAAGTGGTGTCTGGAAAGGGAAAGGAGGGGGGAGGCTGTTATGGTTAATGAAACTTCAAAATGCTCTGAGCTTAGAAATCTTGCAGGCAGAAGGACAAGCTGGATGCTTAAATGTTGTACATCATCCAGGAAAATAACTTCAGGGAACACTGTTAACATGTTACTGCAGCAAGGCTTGTAATCATGCTCTCTGCCTCCGGGTGACTGGTAAAGGGGGAGGACAATGAACTGCTCCCCTCACACCAGGAACTGACAGAGACAAGAGACCACAGCCTGAGTGAGTGTTAGCTCCAAGCTGGGAGCAGTCTCACCCGCTCTTTATCATCTGTTTGTCTGGAATATAAATACATCCCATAGCCTAAGACTGGTAATGCCTTGTTTACTTTTGAGTCTGATAATCATGTAAAGCTGTTTCCTTTTCAGTGCCTTATGTGCAGATGATGAAGAGTTGTTCATTGAGTTTTCCACAGAACTTAATTAAATGAACTTAATTTTCTGTGAACTCTCTTTCATTCGTTTCCCAAGTGCCAGCTTGTAGTATGCTGTTCATGAAATCAGAAGCATAGGGATTTTGTTGTTGTTGTTTTTCCATGGACTCCAGTTTCCAGACCTGGGCCATCCATAGGTTAATAAGGAGGTTTCTGCCAGGTTGTGCCATTTCATACAGGAAAGTTGTCTTCTGTATTGGCTGGTCTTGTTGGTTTAGTGTTGGAGCCTCTAGACCTTGAGAGTTTAGGGTATAGGTCCCCAGCTTGTGCAGAAACCCCCAAAGAAATGGCCAGTTCTCTCTGTCCAGCCTGCCCAACGTTGCCCAGGGGTTTAGTGTTCTGTCACCTCTGCCTATTCCTAGTGCTCCATGGCTAGAAGAGTTAGATTTGAAGTGCCACCCTCTAACGTCATCTGGCATTGCCTGACTTAGCAGAGGTGTATGCGGGATCCTTTTGCTGTGAAGTCCTGGGGTAAGTAGCTCAGCCTCACTCTTCTCTGTGCCTCTTTCTTCAGTCTGCAGTGATGAGCTAACCCATAACTTCAAGGGCTTCACGGTGATGAACGAAAACGAGCGGTATGACGCCGTGCAGCACTGCCGCTACGTAGATGAAGTGGTGAGAAACGCACCGTGGACGCTCACCCCTGAGTTCCTGGCAGAGCACAGGGTAATACATGGCATCTAACCTGCTTTGAATTTTCATCAGGTGCTATTTACGGCAAGAATTCATCCATGGAGGTCACCTCTGCCTGAGCAACCCGTTCGTCCTGAAGATCCTTAAATATAGAATGAGTTGGGTTATGGGAGCTATGTGGGGCATCTTGCCTGGAAGCATGTGCTGAGCTGGCAGATAGTGACACGGTAAAGGAGTCTGAGAGGCAGAAGAGAGTTCCAGGAGAAGTTGAAACAGGCCATAGGGAGAGCATAACGTAGGGTGGGAATGATTTCTGCAGGTTGTCTGGTCCACATGCTCTCAGCAGGACCACATTAGATCTACATCAGCTTCCCTGCAGCAGGAAACCAGGAAAGCTGCATTGTCCTATCAGTAGTTAAGATAAAGTGAAAGGAATCTCTGACATCTGTTGAACTGCTTTGGGAAGTGAGGAGGAGTCTGGGGAGTACGCTCAGTTTCCCTTGTGGAAATTAAAAAGCTATTTATGGATCTTAAAGCAGCTGTGTCTTTAGTCACAGCCCTTCTTCTTTGTTGTGTGCTAATGGGTTTTGGTAGGCAATTGCTAGTGATAACGTGGGACTACTCTGCCTTGGGTTTTTGAGAGAAAACTGTCTTGCTGTTCTCTGTCACGCCCCTGAGTGGAGGTATTGAGCAAAAAGTTACCTTCCTTCAACAGAAAGCAGGAGTCTCCATGCTCAAAGTAAAATGCTGACTCTTATATTGCTTTTTTAATTTTCAGATCGACTTTGTTGCACATGATGATATCCCCTATTCTTCTGCTGGCAGTGATGATGTTTATAAGCATATAAAAGAAGCAGGTGAGTCTGAGTCGGGATTTTTTTGCATTGGGATTCCTGTTGAAGATCTGTTGAGTTTCTCCTATCTGGCAGGGTCACAGTGGGGAAGTGATTGTGGCCTCTGGGAACAAGGTCCATCTAGGAGGCTCTGAGGGCAGAAAGAAAAATGTTGGTTTTGGGTATTAGTTCACAAGGCCAAGACTGCTCCATATCCCAGATTAATTCTTATTATGAAGCTGAAGTCTTGTTATTGTGATTAACAATCTCCTTTTGGAAGAAGAAAATGACTTGGCTTACAGATTCTCACCAGTGGAGAACCTTACAGTGTTCACAGAGTGGACCCTCTAGCTGATTGCTGTAAAACTCAGTGGGAGTGCAGCTGACATTAAGCTGTCAAAACTGAGCCATCAGAGCTTACAGTTATACCTACGAATTTGCAGTACTCCCTATTCTGTCCTTGTCACCAGACACTTCCAAAAGCAGTTGACTGTACTCAGTAGTTTTCAAACCTGCTGAGGTGAAGAACTGGAGCTTTTTAATTAAAAGATGTATTTGTATTTCAGTAAGAAATATTTTCTGCATGCTGGAGTCTTAGATCTTCCTCATGGTCTAAGAGAGGAGTGTGGTATTGTACAAGGGCAAAGACGTGGCGGTGTGAGGACAGGTAGCAAGTGTGCTCATGGCAGAGGAGGTGGTTTACTAATAGAGGTGGCGGTGTGTGTCTTGCTGCAGTTGTCCTGAGTCCTGTTCTCCACCTTCAGGCATGTTTGCACCAACGCAGAGGACTGAGGGGATCTCAACATCAGATATCATCACCCGGATCGTGCGGGACTACGATGTTTATGCCAGGCGGAACCTGCAGCGGGGCTACACAGCTAAAGAGCTCAACGTCAGCTTCATAAACGTGAGTAGAAGTGTGTTTCACTGTAAGTTCTTGTTCAGAAAAGTTGTGGGTGCCACCTGGAGCTGCAGGAGTAACAGTGCTTCGTCAGGGAGGAAGGGCTCGCTCTGTTCCTGTACTGAGTGGCTCATAGCACAGAGGTAAAATACACCACACGAGGCTTTTCTGATGTTGGAAATAAAGTAATAAACATTTCTCTTATCGCTCTGACACTGTGCTTTTTTAAATACAGTTAAGTCAAAATAAAACAGGAGAGGTAATGGCTGCTTGGCCTTAATTTGGCATGTAATTCTGCCTCTGTTTAAGAACACCCAGTAAAAAGTGTTGGCGTGTCATGATACACAAGAAGACCTCCAGCAGGTCACTCAAATCTAATCAGTATATTTTATGAATATTTGCTTCTTCCTTGCAGTGTGCTAACTAGTCCTTATCTCTGGGTTTAGTCATGCTTTGTGAGCTGTGCCAGTGGCTGCCACAAAGCATCTCACAGCCCCACTGCGTGTCTGCCTTCTAGTCTAGGAAAGAAGCATCGCTGAAGTGAAGAAGTGTCAAAACTCATGGAGATGCTGAGTCTTAAGCAACAGTTAGGTGTAATAGCAGAACAGAGGTGGTCGCCACTCAGATCTGGTGAGCTGTATTCTGACCCACTGCTTACTCAACAGGAGAAGAAATATCACCTGCAGGAGCGTGTGGATAAGGTGAAAAAAAGGGTGAAGGATGTAGAGGAGAAGTCAAAAGAATTTGTCCAGAAAGTGGAGGAGAAGAGTATTGATCTCATTCAGAAGTGGGAAGAGAAGTCTCGAGAGTTCATTGGCAATTTCCTGGAAATGTTTGGCCCAGAAGGCGCATTGGTAAGGAGCTGCTCTGGGAAAAGGAGGAAGGAGCTTTGGGAGGGCTGGGCAGTCGGTATGGGGCCCCTGGAGCCCACCCTCTGCAGAACAAGGCCTCTGGTTTGTTGCAGTGCTGGCTGTGTTGCCACTCTCCAGACAAGCTGTCCCAGGCTTGGGCGGCATTGTGTCCCGAGATCCCTCACCACTGCCAGCTGAATAAAGCCAGTAGCCGTATGAAAAGTCTCTATTTCCCAAAAGCTGGTTTGTGAACCTTGGCTTGCATCCTGCAGGCTAGAGAGCATCCAAGAGATTGACAGTCACTTTGTGACTAGGATGAGATGGGTCTGAAGCAATGGGTTTTTGCCAGGCTGTGGTGCTGGCTGAATGTCACACACACTTCATTCTGGAGATGCTTAGAAACAGTGAAACTGGATGCAGTATCCATAGGCTAGATCTAAGATTGGGTTCCTTCTGTTCTTATATTGCACGAAGCACTGAAGAGACTCCGCAGCACCATATGCTGCACAAGCTGTTAGTACTATCCATTTCCATCTCTGAGCCATGCTACCTTTATGCTTCCATCACCAGAAACACATGCTGAAGGAGGGCAAGGGCCGGATGCTGCAGGCCATCAGCCCGAAGCAGAGTCCCAGCAGCAGCCCCACGCATGACCGCTCCCCGTCTCCCTCCTTCCGCTGGCCCTTTTCAACCAAGACTCCCCCTTCCTCGCCAGCCAACCGCTCCAGGAACGAGTCTGCAGTCACCTACGACATCAGTGAAGATGAAGAGGATTAAACTGCCAGCCAGGATTTGCTGCGAACTGCTGATCGCTGAATCCTAAGTCCAGACCCGCTGGGGGGGGAACTCTAAATGAACAAGAGAGCCATAGGAACAGGGCTGATGGTGAGCGTGGGGCCTTGAAGGCACCCACTGCTCTTAGCAAGGGCTGCTGCCTGGAAGCACATTCAAACCTCCTTTCTCTTCTCCCCAAATTCCCTTTTTATTGTTTACGTTCTGGTGTTTTCCAGGGGAAAGATGGTTTTTATATTTTAAGAAACTAGTCTTTTAAAACACGAAGGATAGCACCGAAGCGCGGCTCTTCTTTTTGGTTTCTTTTCTCCTCTTAAATTCTCCAGGTGAGATGGAGAGTGGTAAGACCAATCTGTCCCTTTTTTCCTCCAGCTCTTCAGTCTTATATCTCCCACCCCCAGGCATTATCCATGCCACTGCCAAATGAAAGATCCCTCAGTTCCTCAACCAGCAGCACCTCAACAGCACACAGGAAGCAGCCTTGCATAGAGGCTGCTAGGAAGTAGGGACCTTTCTGCTGCACCGGTGCTGATAGGAACCCATCTGGCAGACTCTGTAGTGCTCTCACACCTCTTAGCTGAGCTTGCCAGCGTGTCACAGCAAGGGTGTGCTGGGATGGGGCAGCTGGCTTAGAGTGCATGAGCTACACCCTGGAAGAAGTTGCAGCTCCACAGCTGCACACCCTGTAAGCGTGCAGTGTTTGCAGCTCCAAAACTGCACAGAGGGCTGCAGGGGAAAGGCCTTTCCAGCCAGTCTTAACAGGACTGCTAAATCTTTTGATTTAAACATTGAGCCTTCGGTTGCTGTTGGAGAGAAGAGAGTGAATCTTTGCTTCAGGGCACTTGCTGTCTGTGCATTTCCTACGGTGTGAGAGAGCCCAGGTAGGAAATGAATGTATGTATGCCTTTGGGAAGCTCCTTGTCTCAGTCTCTGCTGTGTCATGAGTTTTACTGTCTGTCCAAACAGCACTTCAACACTGTGCTCTGTGCGTGTTTGTGTTTCAGTTGCTGGCTCTAGGGGCTGGAGCAGTCCTTAACCCTGGTGCCATGAAGTTGCTGCTATAAGGATACAACATGACCTTGTACAGCCAACTCGCTGTCCATGTGGGTGTGTGCAGCTGGAAGGGCACATTTCACCCCAGCAGAGGGCCGCAGTCCTATGTGACAGTTCCCTGCCTTGCACAAATTTGTGCCCATTTAGTCTGCTTCTCGAGGCAGGCCAGAGAGCCTCCGAGCACTGCAGTTTTTTGAGATTTTAAACATGTAATCTGCTCATTTGAAATCGTGGCCCTAGTCTTGCCTGCTGTTGTGTTTGTGTAGTGAGCATTGAGCTGCATGGCCTCCAGCTCTGCGCGCTGCGTGCCCATGCGCTGAGCCCCTCCTGCACTCTGTCCTGGTAGCCAGTGCTGGAGGGAGTGGGCTGCTGCCTCCCACTTGTTTATCCATTCAGGTTTGCCTGTGACATCCGAAGTCTCTGGGTGAAGCTGCTGGGCTCCTGCAGTGCTGGGAGCAATACTGCAGGGCTCTTACAAGCAGAACATGGGGTTTAGGGAGCAGCAGTTGCAAGGAGACGAATCCAAATGCTGCCGCAAGCTCTGGGCTGAGCAGTGCTGCCAGGGATGCTCCAGGGAAGGAGCGAGCTGCTGCTCATCAGCTTTTGCCTTGCTGATCTGTCACTGCCCTGAGGGCTGGATGGGAACTTGTAGGAAACAAATGGTTTTTGCTCCGTGCTTCTGTTGAGGCTAGAGCCTGTGTGAGAGTATTTGGGGGATTCCTGATCTGCCACTCAGTCCTCCAGCAGGTATGTGCACAGCTCTGGGAGCATGACTGGCTGCTGTAGATTTTGAGCTGTACAGAGCGAGTACAGTCACTTGGTACAAGCCAGTTTTTACTCCCCTGGTTTATGAGTGATAAAGCACTTCATGTATATCACCCGTGTTCTTTCCTCCCTACCTTTCCCACCTCCCCTGGTTTGCCCTTCCCTCACTCTGGATGTTACGTTGCTTTCCCCAGCCAGGCCATGCTGTGTCAGAGCCTCACTACTGTTCTAAACACGAGTTAAGCAGCAGTATTCTGTACTTTGGGATAACAGTGGGTTTCAGATGGTGGCTTGTCTCGTGAAGACCCTGCATATTCCTTGGTGTCTGCACAACCTGGGGTGCTTGGTAAGAAGACAGACATGATTTTACACGTAGCTTGGAATAACAGAACTGTTTCTCATAACCAATAATCCCTGCTTCCTCCTTGCACTTAAATTAAAACGGCCACTTGAATTGTGCACTAGTATTTTATTTGTTGGCTTTTTAGTTTTGTTTGTCTCCTCTTGAATTGCTGCCTCCACCCCCAGTTCTGTCTTATAAATATGGCAGAGCTTGGTCTTCGGGCAAAAGACATGAGCAGAGTTCTCCAGGAACATCTTGTCTCTCTCAGATGTGTGGTGCTGCTGCTTCGGGGCTGTCCTGCATATAACCCTCAGCCATGCCACCCTCTTCAAAAGAAGCACCTGGAAGAGAACCGAGCATGAGTTAAGAGGCAGACTGGCAAAATAAAACTTCACTAGCATGCATTGAAGAACATGCAGTCCTATGTGGAATTCAATGCTGCTAAAGCCAGAGGCATCAGCTTCTGTGAGACAGTCCTGCCCGAGAGGGATTGTACTGGGATTATTGGGATCCAGCTCTTGTAACCTGAGGTGGGTGCTGGAGCTGCAAATAGGCTGGCAGTAGTGAGAACAGACCTTGCCTCTTCCCGTTGTGCCCTCCAAGTGCTCACAAGGGCTCCCAGCTGTAAGAGTTGGGTTTCCTGCCTGTCGCAGGTAAGGAGCTGGTCAACAAGGTGACCCAGTCCCATACTCTGCTCCTTGACCGTGTGCTGCATGTGCCAAAACTCATGGGCTTTCTGGGCCCTGCCGCTTGTGTTGGTGCCTACGAGGCTGTTGATGGTGGTCATGGTCTGTTGCTAGGAGTGTGTCGAGTTGTACAATCTTAGCCCTGCTCACTGAAGTATCTGCTGGTTGAGCAGTTTCACTTTGAGCTCAACTGCCCGCAAAAAGTTTGAGTCACTTCCCACTGCCCCTGGTGGGGCAGAGCTTTTCGCTGAAATGAATGAGCTGAGCAAGTACAAACTGGGAGCTCTGCCTTTCCTACTCCTCCTTTCCCCTGTGCGTTGTGCTGAGGCCATGTGATGGGGGTGAGAAGTTTTGGTGGTGCCCAGCAGCAAGCTCTGCTCTTAGCACCCGTGATCTGCCCATCTCTGACCATCAGTTGGTCGTGCTCTCCCTTCCAGTCCCACCTGCCTCAGGCTGGCTCTTCCCACTCAGTGTCCACTGTACTGGTTTGTCTGTATGGCCCTATGTGCACAACTCTGTGTCTTACTTGTGCTGGAGTTGTTTTTGGTTTTTTGTTTTTGTCTTTGTTTTTTTTGCATCTATGATTAGCCAAATAAATGCAAAATCATTTTACTCGCTGTGTGCCACGTCCCTTCTGCTGTTCTAGCACAGACGTGTTTTCCTCATCTTCCATTTTAGCCACAGTTTGAAGGAGAAGAGGCTTTGGGGATTTTCTACCTCACCACCTGAAATCGTGTCCTGCCCATCAAGGACAGGAGCAGATCCAATCCCAGCCACCACCACAACGCGTGTACAAAGTTATCTTTATTGAGTGCCAACCAGGAACCCCCCCAGGCTGGAGGGCTGCTTCCAGATCCCAAAATGTCCTTTCCCCTTCTGCTGCCTTTGCTCCCAGCAGGCTTCAAGGGTTGTGCTGGGCTGGCAGCACACTGGCAGCTCTGCCCTTATACCCTCATCTGCTCACACCTAGGCACTGCTGCTGGTGGCTGTGATGCTGACAGGCTGGTAGCCTGGCTTGTCATCCTGCTTGCGGTAATACATCCGTGCCACCACCACCAGGATGAAGGTCTGCGGGATTAACAGCTGCATGTTCATCTCTGAAAACAGGAAACAGAGATTATTTGAAGGTATTTTCACCAACCATGTCCGCTCCCTGCTGCGTGCTGGAGATGCTTAGCCAGGAGCCAGCACCCCTCGCCCTGAGCTCCCAACTCACGCTGTGACCTGGCCTTGGAGGAGAAGGGTGGCGAGCAGGCAATGTTACCGTTGTTGGCCAGGATGCTGAAGATGGCAGGCTGCAGTGCTGTCAGCACAAGGAGAACCTGAAACGAACAGCACTGCCCGTCACGGGGACCCACAAGCAGCCACTGCTCTCAGCAACTAGGCCTGACTCTTCCCCTTGTCACACTGCCTCTCTCTGGCTGAGAAGAGCTCTCCTCGTGCTTCAGGTGCTCCGTAAGCTGCTGGCTTACCTGGAAGCAGGTGAATTTGGCCTGCATGTTCTGCTCCTTCAGATGCAGTCGTGCCTGTCGGAAGAGGATACCCAGTGCCCACAGCCCAAAGAGGGTGGAGGCTCCGATGACGGTGTTGATCCAGAGTGCCACGCTCTCCGCCGAGATCTGTGGGGAGGAACAGCATCTGGCAGGGCTGCCCTGTCACACATGCCCCTCCCTGCCCTCCACCGTGGCACTCACATCAGCAGGGTTGTAGTTCCCATCAGTGTACAGGACCAGTCCCAGGAAGACAGAAGCTGTTTTCAGGAGGACATACTGGAAGGTCCCCAGTATAAGCAGCCGAAGCTTTTTCCTAGCGTGGGGAGAAGTTGATTGCATCTCCCTGCCTGGGACTTGTCTCATCCCAGCAGCCCTGCCCCATCCCTTCCTCACCTGCTCATGGTGATGCGGGGCAGGCAGGGGCAGCAGCAGCAGCAGGGCCCGGTGCTCACCACCATGGGCACGTCCTTCAGGGTGCTGAGCACGGCCTCCTTCCCCCCAAAGCCCTCCACCATAACCATCATCATGACATAGAAACAGGTGGCAAAGTACCTGGGAAGGAGGAAAACGAGGAAGAGGAGGAAGGTGGCAAAAGCAGCCAGGCCCCACTGTCCCAGCTCAGGCCATACTCACATCGTGGTGGCCATTTCCACCACCATCATGGAGCGTGGGATCCACAGCCCGAAGCAGCTGAACACAGTCACGACCTGGAGGAGACATGTGCTGTGCACAGTGCTGTCCTCCATCCCCACGGGGGTTCAGACCCCCGGTGCCGCCCCCAGGCTCAGCTCACCGTAGGGGCTGAGCTGCTCCAGCAAAGGGTCTTCATCTTGATGGGGCAGCTGGTCTTGCGGTAGATATAGAGGGCTTCTTCCACGTAGATGATGACTGACACCAGCGTCAGGATGGTGGCCAGGCCCGTGATGGAGAGTTGGATCATATCCAGCTCTGCCAGAGAGGGGCAAGAATTTGGTTCTGTTGAGTCCTGTCCTGTTCCCCCTGTCTGGGGTGGGGGGAATGAGACCCAAGCAGCGGCCTTCTGCCACCTCCATCTGTCTCTCATCCCCCTCCTGCTCCCACAGGCGACAAGAGGGGAGTTCCCCCGCGCTGCCCACTCCCCACACTTACGCTGCAGCAGCTGCCAGGAGGTGGGTGGCAGGGAGAAGCATGCGGCCGGCACGCTGAAGTTCCGCATCAGCATCTCCACCAGCGGCCGAGGGAACCTGCAGTGAAGGGGAGTGCTGCTGAGAGCAAGCAGGGACACGGAGACACCCAGCCCCTCGCATCACCTCTTCCTCTACGTAACCCAACTCCCACTGCAAAAAGGGGTACAAAGCAACCCAGCAGCATGGGGATCCCAGGCACCCACCTGGGGTCATCTGCCAGCTCTATGGTGGGGTCCATTCTGTCCAGCTCTGTCCCAGCAGCTGCGGGGCTGCTCGGCACTGCGTTGGTTTACTTGTGCTGTCCCCACGCAGGGTCAGAGTCCCGAGGGCAGGGACCGCAGGGAGGCTTTGGTGTCTCATTCAAGTTTAACCAGCTCTGGGCGCTCATTGGTGAGGCCTTGGTTCTGGCCCAGCCCCACGAAGTGCCTTGGCCACACGGTTATCGACCTGGGAGGAGTGTCTGTGACATGTGCCATGGTGCCTGAGTGTCCCCAGAGCTTGGTATGCAGGGCTCTGCCTGCCCACCCTCTGGGCACCCCACAGATGGGCTTGGGTGGTCATCCCATGGTGCCTGGGTGCCCTGGTCCCCGTGTGCCCCCCTGTTGGGGCACAGAAGGAGTGGGGCAAGATTTGGTGTCACATTGCCTGCCACCCTGGTGCCGCTCTGACCACTAGGCCATGGGAAGCCTGGCAGATGGCTGAGCGTCTGTCTGTCCTTCCTGTCACTCTTGTGGCTTTGCAGGCTCATGGCAGCAGGTGAGAAGTTTGCAAGGACTCAGCTCCCAGCAGTTAACTGAGCACCGTGATGCCAGAGGGTAGGGCTGGTACCACTCAGCACTGCTGCTCAGCATCAGCCCCAGACACAAAGCTGTGGCCTGGGGAGGGGGCACTCTGAGCTGGGAATTGGGATTCAGTGTGTCCCTGCTCTGAATGGACTCCTGGGAATTGGGCATGCTCACACTCCTGGTGCCCTCCCAGCACCCCAAGGAAAATGAGCTCTGGTATGCAGTGGGCTCCTGCAAAGTTCAGAGTGGCACTCACACCCTAAAAGACTCCCCAGCACTCGGAACAGGAAGCTGCAGTTGCCATGGGGTGTAGCAGGGATGCAATAGTTACCATAGGAGTGGAACACAGATTGTTGTGCCACAGCTGCCAGGGAAGGGGATCCAGTCCAGCCTGTGAGGCCCTGCAGCTGCTCTGCTCGCCATGGAGCTCCTTGATTCCTTTCCTTTCAGCATCCTCCTGGTCCTGCACCTGCTGGTCTCATACCCGTAAGCCACTCCACTGTAGCACCCATGGGGTGGCAGAACTGCCCTTTCACATTACCAGCTCACCCTGCTCTGTGACCACAGTTCTGTGCCCTGTTCCATCCCACAGGTACAGCTGGCTGGCCCTGCACAGCTTGCCACTGGGTCCCTTCTTCACCACCATCCTCCTCATCCAGGCTGCCACCAGTCTGCTGGCATTCAGCTTCTCCAGCCTGGAGTTCCTCCGGACAGGTGGGACACAAGGATACAGGGGGACGGGGCAGCAGGGGATGGCTCCAGGTCTGGAAGGAGTGGGGTCCCTGTTGTGTCACCTGCAGGAAGGACCCAGAGGGATGTGCTGGAGCAGAGCAGCACAGTGAGGCGGCAGCGCTGCCACCATTCCTGCTGGCATCAATTCCTCTGCCTTTGCTGTGATAGCTGCAAGAAGGTAAAGGACAAAGTGCTGCACACCTCCAGTACATTGCAGCCCCACTGATCGTATCCCACACCCCTCTCCCTACACCCTGCACCCTTTATATGCATACCCAAGTGTGCATGCTGTGCAGAGGGGGCAGTGGGACCCTGGGTGCCCCTGGTCCCAGTGGAGTGCCCCACTGCCAGCACCCCTCTGTCACAGCCCTTCTGCCAGCATTGCCAGGCACCGAGGCAGAACATCAGGTCCCAGCATTGCCCACGGCATCGTTCCACCATCTCCTATTACCGCTGCATCCACCTCCTGTTGACGGTCGCTACATCCCAATCCGTGGCAGTGCAGCTGTCCTGCATCCTCCTCCCGCTGCTCTGCCCCCTGCAGCCCATCACCCTGCAGAAGATCGACGTGTATCCTTGGTGCCAGGAGGCAGAGCCCTGCCCTGACATGCACATGTGTCGTGTACCCTGCAGTGCTGTTTGGGCTGTGCATGCTGGAGCCTGTTCCCTTTGCTGCGCATATCCCTGGTGCACGATGTGCTCGTGGCTGTTTGTCCCTGACTCACTTTACAGAATCACGGTCACCCTCTTCACCATCCTCTACCTGAACCCCATCGTGCTCTGGGCCCTCTGGGGCACCCGAGTGCAGCGCACACCGAGGCAGCGGATACGGCCACAGGGCACCAGAGCAGTGGATGGCACCATGACGCATCGATGCTCCACACAGCTCAATCCCACTGTGCAGGCACTTGAGCGCAAGGAGGTACCCACACCACCCATATCATCCCTCTCCATCCCCTCTCAGTGACACCACCTGCACTGAGTCCCCAGCTATCCCCATCCCAAGGGTCACACCGTGCCACTCTGCACTCCCAGGCTTACACCTGCCTATGCTGTGCCCTATGGAAGTCGAGGTGAGTGTGGTGCCCGGTGTGATGCCCCAACCTGCCAGGCATTGTGGGGACTGTCCCTGTCCCACCCTGCCTGGCTGCTTCTGACCAACACCATCAGTACTGAGACCATCGCTACCAACTCCTCCGTGAGCTCACCACCATCCAACAACGGCTCGGTGCTGGCAGTGTGGACATCACCCCATCAGGATGCAGCAATGTCTCAGGAACAGGAGAGCCAGCAGGTAGGGCAGTTACATCCCACAGCCAGCACCAGCTGTGCCAGCAGCATGCAGCGTGCCTGCAATGCCATGTTGACATCTGGCCCTGCCATGGAGATGGTTGTGGAGAGTGCAGTGCAGTGGGATGAATGGGATGGGGCAGCTAGGGGCTTCTCCTCTTGTTTTCTGCCCCCATCCCCGCACAGTGGCCCCAGGGTCACTCACCCCTTCTCCCTACAGCCACTCCTGTCCTCACAGGCTGCTGCCTCAGGTAAAGGCAAGGAGGATGAGCAGGAGCTGAAGGCAGGTAAGCATCCATCCCTTGGTGCAGGCAGGATCACCCTGCCTGCCAAAAAACCCTTCTGCACAGAAGGAAAAGGGAGCTCCCAGACCCAGCCATTCACCCACCGGTCTCCCCAGTACCTGAAAGCTCAGGAAATCTCAGTCTCATGGGTGCAGTGCTCTGAGGGGCCACCAGCAGCGCTGGCAGGGTTCTGTCTGGTGGGTTAGCATTTTTCCTTAAACAAAACCATTTGGCCCTTGAAAACCTGCCCAAACAAGCTCACCAGAGCCCTCCTGCCATGCCAGCGTTGCCCACGCAGCTGTTGGGTCAGCGTTCCCAATACTTGGAAAAGCTCTGGAAATGGAAATATTTGCCTGGGGTGGTTTTCCACCCACCTCTGGCTCCCTGGGTTGTGGTTGGAGCAGGCCCTGACTCCCAGGACTTTCATCTCCATGCTTTTCTCTCCCTCCCAGAGCCCAGTGCCATGCCACATAACCAGGACACCAAGGAGTGACAACCATCACCGACACCGAGGGCAGCTGGCACGCATGGAAAGGCAGCTCATTCACCCAGTGTTCATGCTGTGGTCCATTTGGATAAACAGGCAATAAACACTTCCCTCCATGCACTTTTCTGCCTGGGACTGTGAGCTGCAGAGTCCATGTGGCTGGGGATGGTGGCACCTGCACAGCACCACTGCCCCCACCCCATGGCTTTGGGTTCAGGGCAGTGTCCCCACTCAGCCCTGCCACCGTCCCAGCAGCACCCCACGAAGCACTGGAAGCACGAGGATGGACAAAGCTCAAGATAAACAAATAAAGTGCGGCGACTGCAGCACTGAGAAAGGGACAGGAAAAGCTTTCCCAGGGTGCTGGGAGGAAACCACCGGAAGAGGAAGGCTGGAGCAGGACGGGGGCTGGATCCTGCAGCACACAAACGCTGCACCGTCTGCCTTGCAGTGCAACACCCAAACACCTGCAAAGGTGGTGAGTGCGTGCTGCTGTGGGGTTGAAGGATGCAAGAGGTGCTGAGCCCTAAAGTGTCACCGTGCAACGGTCACAGCATCAATGTGCAATAGTCAGGGTGCCCCTATACCCAGCCTCAGTGCAGAGGGGTGGGGGCCACAGGGCCTGAGCCACACCACTGATACTGCCCTTGGAGCCCTGCCCACGGGTGGCCACAGATAAGGGTGGTCTGCAGCTCCCTGATTGCCCCTGGAAGGCAGCAGGGAGGGCGGGAGGAGACATCCCCAGGAGATAGGCTTGGAGGGAGCAAGAGGTGGGGACCCCTGGCAGAGCTGCAGACCCCCACTGCACGTCACTGCTTTGCAGTGGGGAGCACACCCTGCACACACAAAACCCAAAGCCCTGCAAACCCACAGGGCTCCCGTGCCTCAGTTTCCCCACTTGTAAAATGAGGAGCGATTCCTGTGGCAGGAGGGCAGAGGCAGCTCATTTGCTTCAATGCCTGGGGACAGCCTGTGCCAAGCACTATTCGTAGGACAGAGCTGGAGTTTCAGATGCATTTCACATGGGCCACGCTCCTCAAGGTCACCACACGAGGCTCTGCTGCAGTCTCAATGCTCTGCTCCAATGGAATGAATGAAGTCACGGAATGTGTGAACGCCTCGCCAGCTCAGTGGTGTCTTCCCAAAGCTGCTTCCAGTGTCAGACTGGATGTTCAGCAGCAGGAAAGCTACACATATCCATATAGGTGTGTGTGTACCTGTGAGTTTATATAATATATAGGTTCTTATACAACGTGTACGTGCTGCAGAGAGCCAGTAGGGGTGTGCCCCAAGGCAGTGTGTCCCGTGAGCTGGTTATCATCCCCACTGGGGCCACAATCATGCTTCCCAAAGCAGTGCCCCAGGGGCCAGAACCAGGACCTGGCCGTGCTGGCTTTGCCCAAAGGTGTCCTGCTGCCCCCAGCACACACAGAGCTGCTATTTTACCATCTCCAGCTGGGAGACAAGGAGGATGGTGGGAGGCAGGGCAGCCCGTGGTGGCTGGGAGAAGCAGAGCAGGGGCTGGATGGAGCTGTTCTGCAGCTGGACAGAGGCCATCAGAGCAGCTTTGATGGCTCTAGCCACCCCTTCCTTTTGAACCCAGCCCCACAGATGGGGCACCCGATAACCTCTCCGCCTCCACCATCAGCCGAGCAGCTCTGGGCTCCTCTCTGTCTGCTTTTCCTCCCAGAACACCAGCATCCAGCGGGGCTGTGCTCTGCGTGGCCTGGGCTTTGTCACCTTCAAAGGGGCTCGGTGTGGGGGTCCAAAGGAAGCATTGCAGCCAACAAACACACGGAGGCTCTGCTTCCTCCTCGCTCCTAGCAGAGCCAGAGGTTTCCTGCGGGCAGCCCCGAAGAAAGGCGCCTTGTTGGAAAACAGAGGGGCTTTTTTTCTCTCGTGGCCACCTAAAATATCACGTGTCACTGCTGATGTTTGCATTTTGAGAAGGACGAGGTAGAAGCGTGGGCTCCGGGGCATTTTTTTTGGTCGAGAGTTTATTTTCTTACCCGTCTGTCTCCTATTAGGAGCTCGCAGGTGGAAACGCTGAGGCTTATAGAAAGGCACACCTCATCCCCGCAAATATTCTCTCCAAGAGCCAGCACACACACAGAGTGTTTGGGAAAGGGCAGAGCTGCTTCTGCCCATCCCGCCCCATCGAAGGGTCAGCGGTGGGGAGCACACAGCCAGCCCTGACATTGTCACTGCATGTGTACAACGTGGGCACCGTGACTCTGCATGAACATCAGCACACGCTCGTTTGGCATCACTTAATTAATAAAGCAGCTGCTCTGAGCAGCTGGGACGTGCACAGGCAAAGCAGGGCAGTCTCAAGGCAGGGGTGATCACACCCAGCAAAATCCACAAGTGCTGGCTGGAGGGGGGGAAAGAGGCTGGGAGGTGCCTGCACCCACACAACAGCCCTAAGGCCAGTCCTGAGACTGAGCAGGGCCGAAGGATTGGTCCCTGCTGACCACTTCTCTATGGCTGTGACTCTATGACTAAACCTCAGGAGGTCAAAACAAATACTGGACAGCTCCGGTCACTGAAAACAAGCTGAGCCTTTTTCCATTGCCTTCAGAAGTTTTTTTAGCTGTTGAGACAAAAACACAAACATTTTCTTTTTTCCATGCCAAGTCAGCTTCCCCATCAAGCAGCACCCTGGCCCTGCTGCATGTGCATCCCCAGGGAAGCACATAAGACAGGGACGTGGCTGGTGCTGGTGCCAGGGTGCAGGGCTGTTGCAGGGTAGAACAGCACACACCAGAAGGTCAGCACACCCAGTTTCCCAGCACTGTGCCTCTTCTCCAGCCTGAGGTTTACCGCTGAGGTGCTTTGTGCACCCAGGGAAAGCAGCACCGCTGCAGGACCTCTGCTTGGAGGCACCAGGTTGTTGTGAATGAAGTCACAGGTGTACCTACAACAATCCTGCACTAAGCGCCATTGCTCGGCCACGCTCTGGCACGCTGCAGCAGGTAGGCTGCCAGCCAGGGCAGGTTTTGCAGCTGTCAGTAACAGGCAGTTACAAGTAGGCAGAGTTCTCCTTCTCCCTGCTAACACCCACCCCAGTTTAAAACCCTTTCTTTTCTTTGCTTCCGGATATTGCTCAGAGAGATTAATCTGCCTTGCAGCAAGGCTTTCCAGCGGGCTCACAGCACAAAGCAACTCCTCTGATTTTGAAGGGCTGCCCGCACCTGCTCCGTTAATTACCCTGACAATGGCTTCAGCAGCAGGAAAGCCACCGGGACCAAAAATCTGCACAAAGCTGCAGGGAAAGCACCAGCCTGGCCCAGCTGTGCATGGGCTGCAGCAGCTCCGGGTGCAGAGCCATCACTCTGCTCCTGGGAACGACTTTCCCCTGCAGAGCGTGACACGATGCTGCCTTCTCCTTTGTTGTTTTTATTTCCCCAATTTGGGCTCCTCTTCTGCCAAGAAATTCATTTCAAAACCCCCAAACCACACATACAGGTGATTAAGTTTAATCTAAAAGCCAACACGCTCCCTTATCTGGGAGGGTGGTTCCCACCGAGCAGCTCTGGCTGCTGCTATCGTTATGCAGCACTACTGCTCTGTGCACCACAGAGCAAATCAGGGGGAAACTCCCAGCTTTACAGCCTCTTCCCAGGCCCTTTTACAGTGAGCAGAGAGGGACTTTTGCCCCTTCCTATAAAGGGACACGGGGGGCAGGTGGGAGCTGGTTGCTGCAGGTGACCCATCCCCATGTCCCACACTCCAACGCCATATGGAAGTACTACAGATCATAGGTGGCATCCCTGGTTTGGAGGGACTCAAACCACGAAGTCTGCCGAGGAAAACTCCAAAAGCTCCCAGATTCAGAAAACAGCTGATTCAGGGGAAACGCCTGTGAAAAGAAAGCACTTCGGAAAGGTGTCTGAGATGCCTGCCCAGAGAATCAGGAAAGAGAGAGGCAGTGTTTTGCACTTGAGATACAGATGAGCGAGGAGCAGAACAAAGAGGGGCCAAGGGAACTCGTGAGGTTCCCATGATGTGGGGCTGAGGACCCTCTGAGCTGTATCCCAGCCCAATGCCCGCCTTCTCCTCATTGCCTTTTCCCTTTCCGCTTCCCACCTCCAGCCCCCAGAGCAGCAGGAGCCAGGCCCAGGGGTGCGATCAAACACGCAGAACTCAAGAGCAGAGCTGCTTTGATGCATCCCCCAGCTTCTGTGCCTATTGTGCTTACATCCTGAGCTTGTTTGTGTGCTGGTCCCCAGCCCCACAGCCCCCTGCTGCTGCCTGGCTCAGGCACTCCCAGGCAGTAGATAAGTGCAGCCAGGCTCACTATCGGGGCCAGGTGCAGCCCCATAGATAGTGGGACTGTAACCACACTGACCCCACAGCACAGAGGGCTCTGGATTGCCAACGGCTCCTGCCCCATCTCTTGCCAGCCCTGCTGCCCACTGAGTGCTGTTCGTTGGTGAAAGCAGTATCAGCCCCGTGCATGCTGGAGATTTGTTCTCGTGCTGCCGCTGTCCCCTTGGGAAGGACCAGCATCTTGCCAAAAGCCATAACTGGTGCCTGGGAGCAGTACAGCGAATGGTTTGCTTGGAGCACAGGGACAGCTGTCTGTCCTGGCTGTCCTGAGTCAGGTGGGCAAGGTGTGCTGCCACCAAGTCACCACAGCTTCCCAGATCCCAAAGCAGGGAACATCTCCCAGGCCTTGGTCTTTGCCAGCGGCCCCATCTCCATGTGTACTCTGAGCACAGACAACAGCCCCCATTCTCCCTGCAGGCAGGGTCACTCCCACTGTGCAAGGAGCACAGAGGGATCCCCAGGGCTGTGGAGAGTTAATGTCCCGGCAAAAAACAATGTTTGCAAGCAAGGAAGCCCAGATGAAAGATGCAGGTTGCTTTAAACCTGCTGGGACATGGTACAAGCTGGAGCCTCTCCCCTGACCCTCTGTGCTGGCCTCCGGCAAGAAGCGCTGCTGTAGCAAGAACCTCCATCCCTGCTTCCCTCCTGGTGCAGCTGCTGGAGGGCTTGGGGTCCTGTGGGAAGACAGAAGTCCCTGAAATAGGGTCTGCATAT